TATTGTTTAGCTTTCTTGTTTTATAATCTTCGAAATTAAAGTAAAAGTGATAAAGCTTTTAAACACTGATCAATTGAAAAAACGACTCTTGAATGCCAAAGTGAGAAAAATCTCTATCTATTGATCTAAATTAAAGGTGGGGTAGGTAAGTTTCAGAAACCGGCTCGAGTGCACTAAAATTTGAAAGTACACAGCCGAAAAGAATCCGCCCCTTCCTTCAGACTTACTTCCTTACAGAGCACCTCCTCCAACACACATGAACGCGCACATGACGTCAGCAGACTGGTGAAAGTGGCCGCCTGTTGCTGGCGAGTCATTGAAGTACTGCTGCAATGCACACCCAATGACGGCACGCCCAATGAGGGCACGAGATACATTTGTGCGTGCACGAGATGGAAGGCTGACAGACAGGGCGGCAATCCAATCCGTTTAGCCGGCCCGGCTAAACGGATTGGTTGTACTTTTTACAGTATTACGGCTTCCACAGATGACATTTTTTAATGGATTTTTTGTCAAAGCACTTAAGCAGTGCTTGAATTGGAATGAAAAAGGTGCCAGTACTCTAAAATCAGCAACTTTTTCAAGTCAATTTTATATATACAGCCCACAAACAAGAATTTGGCTACTATAATGCTGGTGGGTTTGTCTCTTTACTACTGTATATTTTAGAAAGGTTCACTGTACTTAATATTTTTTATGATAGGCAGCGGATATGGCTAAAGCTCAGTAAGGTCAATATTAACTGAAAATATAGCAATCAAAGTCTAGATCTTCTGCTGAAGACACATGAAGCAGAGACCTTTCAGGTGAGAGCCCCTCTGGTGGTGTTCAACATTAATGACAAGGAAACAAAGCTCTGGTCAGAAGCATTTTTTATAAAAAGCTTTAACAAAATTAAGTATTTCTGTACATTTTGAATGCAATCTAACTTTCCAACTCAGAAAACGAAAAACGAAAAAGTGCCAAAAGTCTTCTCACATGGCTGAGCTGCTTTGCAATATACTTCACCACTGAAGAATACAAATATGTATAAAGTAAACTATGATGCAATCTAACTTTCCAACTCAGAAAAATGATAAAGAGCATGAACAAAGAACATGTAAAAACAAATGCAAAATTTGCACAATCTAAAATGAGAAACTGTAACTGCAAGTAACAAAGTCTGAGCCATGGTAAAGAGTTACATTGAACACCAAGCTGATCAGATAACTCCCTGGTTGGTCTGAAGTCCTTCTATCTCCAGGATCTGTACAAATCGGCACATTATGCCAAAAGTCTTCTCACTGGGTGAGCTGCTTTGCAATATACTTCACATTGTTAGAAAAGGCTCCAGAAGGCCTTGGGGACATCAGTATCAGGGGCTGGAGCTGGACAGGCTCTTTCATCAGCACTTCTCCTTCCCTTTGCCAGCCAGGACCTCACATACTGTTCCGGATTTAACTGTCCTAGTGATGGTCCATTACATTTAATGAAAACCAGGCTGGACAGTCGGCTGACAGAGAGAGCATTCCTTTTTGCAGTAAGGATATCGTTCATGCAGCTGAATGCCTGCTCACACTCACTAGTGGAGACAGCGATGGTTCGGACTGCTTTCAGTAGAGGCTCCATGGCAGCAGGTGTACGGGATGCCCTGGTTTCCTTGTATTCGCGAAAGCCCTGAACAGTCTCTCTTCTGTCCACTTTCAGCACTTCGCACAAACGTAGCACCTCTACGTCCCCATACTGTACGTCTAACTCCTCTTCAGGCCAACTTCCAGGATGGATAACTTTCATGTCCTGGATTAGCTGATTGTCCCGGGCCTCCCGGCCATGTAATGGGATTTCTCTTGTGCTGACATGAGAGGAGGTTGTGGAAGTCATTCTGTGTCTCAGATTCTCTACCATACTGCGGAAAAACTGACCTGCATGAATCTGTACAAGCCTGCCATTCTCACGCAGGGCAACACCCTTGAAGGACTTCTCAGCTAGAGCTGTATGAACTGTAGTCATGTGTGGGCCAGGCATGGTGACCATGGATTCAAAAACTCGTATTTCTCGAGTTAAGAGCCTATCTGCTGTAGGCAGTGTCATCTCTCTTTTTTGGAGTTGCCGAGAGAGGTCGCTGAGCTCTGTGAGCGCATCGTACATCAGTCCCAGATTGCTGACAAACGTTGCAGATGTGAGCACATCATCCAGGCCCTTGTACTTTGCTCTGTCTCTGGAATCCCTGCTCGTGTCGTTTGCAGCATTTGTGAAGTGATCATGAAGCACTCGGTAGTTTTCCCAGACTGCTCTGACGCTCCTTTCACTTGAAGCCACCCAGCGGATGGACAAAACACGCCCTATCACCAGGAGACGCTGTCCGACTGCTTGCGCACACTGCGCTAACTGCCTCTGATTTTTGGGGGAGGCATGGAACAAGGAATAGAGTTTGTCAAAAAAGATCTGGAAATGATTGAGCCCTGAGACCTCCTTGACCACATCCCCAACTGCCAGCTCTAGACAATGATTGGAGCAGTGCCACACAAACAGGCTTGGGAATTTATTACACAACTGGGTAGCAACGCCTGTTCTCTTCCCTAGCATGACTGAAGCCCCATCACATGCAAAAGAAACGAAACACTGACCTAAAAAGTCCTCGTTAAAATCTCTTCCAAGACACTCCATTAACGCCTTTGTGATGTCATCAGCCGTTGTTCCATCCAACTCGATCAGCTCCCAAAAAAACGTTTCGGGCTCAGCATCAGCTAATGCTGAGCGTAGACACACAACAAGCACCGTTTTACCACTAATAGTGGTAGATTCATCGACCAAAACACAGAATTTTCTTTGGTTTTCTGTAATGTCTTTTGCCATTTTTTTCTTCAGCTCATGAGCTATGTGGTCGATGATTTCGCCACAGGTTTTATTGGAGTGCAAAACCCTGCCCACGTTCAGCCCATTCAGTTTCTGTACATTCAAATCAATTGGCATGTATGTTTGCCAATTTTATATGCCGTTCGAAAAACTCTGATAGTGGTGTCTAATTCAGATGTATGCATAGACTGCACTTGATGTTGAATAGTTTCACGTGAAGCAGATGTAAGGATGTCAGCAGCTTTTACATGGGCTTGTGATTCTTTATGTTCTTTGATTTTTTTTTCTCAGGCTAGCTTGTTGTTTGCCCTTGTCAACACCGAAATGAGACACTGCACACTCACCCCATTCAGTTGACAGTTTCAGTCCTTGTCCAGTGTGTATTCCCAAAGATTTGACATCTCTGCATATCCGACATCCTAGCTTCTTATCTTTAAGAAGGAGCCATGCATTGGTCTTGCAAAAATATTGCACCTGGTCCGTTGTCCAGCAGTCAGGTGCATCGCTTTGCCCGGTGTTGGTGGTGGCAGTTGCGCCAGCAGCAGCTAACGTTAGAGGCTCTGGAGGAGGCGGCGGAGCTAGTGCTAATGCTAATGCACTAGAACTTGGAGCAGGAGGATCAACCAAAGAAAGCTCCCCATCAGACACAATTTCCAACACAGGCACAGCATTCTCTGTATTTGAAGTTTCTTCCGGCGACAACCGCTGTCTTTTTGCACTTTTTTATTAATCCACGCTAACATTTTAGAAATGCTAATTTGTGACGTGACTTGCTTTCCTTCTCTCGGGGGCGTGCCTGCTCTGTTCTATCACTCTACATAGCCACCCACTGGGTGGGAGTTGCACTGCATAAACACAACACACGTGCATCTAGGTATGTAAATTGTAAAGCATTAAAACATGGTTTTACTAACAGTTTTCAGTATGTTGTTACTTCGGCATTATTATTATTATTATTATTTTGAAACGTGTATTACTATTAAATCACGGTCAAATAGGTTAATTTTGACATAGTCGTTTCCACCACAGTATTTACATGGAGAAGATAAGCCCCGCCCCCTCTCCAGCACTTTCTGTTTGAATGACAGGAGTAAACAGCTGACAGCCGCTGTGAAACTCCAGCGGTTAGAGCGATGAGAATGTCCGTTCGGCACCTCATGACGCATCTACTGAGTACCGGGCGGCTGTATATATATATATATGGATGTATAATAAGAACGGCGGGAGAGTGTTGAGTACTGGCACGGTGCATGAGTACCGTAGTACCGCCAGCATGCCGGTACTGAGCAAGAAGTGCCGGTACTCCATGGGTCAGAACCAGAAGTGCCGGTACTGCGTACCGGTGAGTACCGGCCCAATTCCAGCACTTATTAAGATATTCATTGCTATCGGGATGTTAAGAGCATTCAATGGAATATAACAAAAAGCGTATCTCGAGCCGGTTTCTCAAACTTACCTACCCCACCTTTAAGTGCTTCATTTAGATAAATTAGATGACGCTGCCCTCATCTCTTTGAGCACCGGACAGCTCCCATCCCACTGGCGTTGTGATTGACAGGAGAAGCAGCCAACTGCGGATCATCAGTAGAAGGAAGACGGGCTCCTGATGTGTCTCTTCGAGGCTTCGGTAGGCCTACTTAATGCCTGTTGTGGTCGGAAGAGGGCGGAGTGCGTTTATCATCCAAGTGAGAAGCTCCCTGACTCGGTGCCTCGTATAAAAATATATAAATATAACAATAACCTGCCCCCTTTACCCCTCCCTTCCTCCTCGTTTTGAATCAGTCTAGTGTGCATGCAAGAGGGAGAGCGTCCGCCGCACAGCAAAGCCAAGACAGTCTACAGTGAGATACAGAGAGGAAGAGAGATAAAGGAAGAGGTGGAGGGAAACAGCTGCAAGCGGATACTCAACATCAACAAGCTGTATAAGGCATCTGTAAAGAAGAAGGGCTTTTACGCGAAGACAGCGAGGGGGGTTCCTTACGTTTTCCCCCTCCTCTGCTTTTTTTATTTCAAGATCAGAGGCGTGGAGCTCGCAAGAATATCCTACAAGTGGTGAGGCGATGGTTTAGCGGAGCAATTTGCTGGATTGTTTTTACAGCCCGCCCGCCCTAACCACTGTAATTCTGATCATCTGTACATCAGTGGAAGCTTTTTCCTGGAGGGAGATGGCTGTTCTCCGGCTGTCGTTGCTACTGCAAGTGGGATTTGTGATCGGATCAAACCATAAATACGCGGAATGGTCAGCGCATGGGGAAGATGTGAGAGCACGGGAGGCGGTTTACGGCGCTCAGACGCACCGTCGGCAGCTGGCGCATCTCCGTGCGCCTCAGCCTCCTCCGGGGGAGACGCCGGAGAACCTAGAGGAGCTTCTCCCCAGGGTGGTCACCGCTTTTCTTCACACGGGGGACTCGACCACCTTAAAGCACGCCAACTGCTCGCGGAGGTACGAGCTCACCTCTCTGCGGGGAAGGTCAGAATCAACCCCGCATCAGTCCATGAGCAGCGTGTTGGATACGGTGCTGCACGCCACAAACTTCCTCAACATGATCCTGCAAGCCAACAGGTCCAGGGAGCAGAGTCTCCGGCGAGACATTGAGTGGTACCATGCCTTAGTCAGGAGTATTCTGGAGGGAGACGCCAAGATCCACCGGGCTGTGGTCACTTTTAGCGCGGATTCGTCTGTGGAGGGGCCCTCGGTGCTTCTCCAGGCCACCAGGTCCGGTGGGGAGATAGTTCTCCATGACCTCTCCAGCATGGCACACCACCATCTGCACAACCGCACAGCAGACACAGAGTGGTACCACGGTGTCAAAGACATGAAGAAGCCCAATTTCCACAAGAGGGTGATGAGTCAAGATTTTAAATCACTGGACAATTCTCTAAAAAGGGGAGAGAGTTTTATCCCGGACAAGGCACATGTCAAATGGTCTGCGCCCTACCTGGAGTGTGAACATGGGTATTTTGTTCCCCGCTGGCTTTTGACCTTATCGGCTGCTTTCTATGGCCTGAAGCCCAACCTGGCTCCTGAATTCAGGTAGGCACACAGATGAAACCTGAACAGTATAGTTATGTTGGTTAAAATAGAACATCTGGTAAACAACAAGCTCAGCAAAACATCACTTATTGTCATTAGAAATACCCTGTTCATAAGCCTTGCACGAATGACTTGAATTATTAAATGTGTATGTGTGTGAGAAAGATGTTTGCCAACCTAAAGGTTAGTTCTGGCCTGTTAAACCACCACTTCATCTGCAACCAACATAAATAAAGCTTACCTGCCTCTTTCCTCCTCAAACATACTGCAGCCTCCCACTGGCCTCCCCCTGTTTACCAGGGGGGTTTCTACTCCCCTCCAGTCTGAGAAGGCGCCGGGATGCTAAAAATAACCCTGAATGTTAGTGGATGTAGCAGTGGTGGAAACCCCTGGCTACAGGCCCTAATTCATTTTTCAAAGACTCACTAGGCTGGATGCTTTACTACTCAGGAAATGTTCTGTGCCCTTTTCTGTAAATCTAGATGAGTCAGAACCTTTCTGAGATGAGAGAAAGCACATCAGCTGGCATTTGCAGATGAATAAATGTTGAAATATTTGGCTGTTTTGTACAATCCATGTATTGAAGCCACCCCTGCTGCAGCCTGCTCGGAAAATGTGCCACGTTTATGCCACCAGCCCTGATATACACTGGAATAATTAAGTGTAAAGGCTCCATTATAACCCTGACCAACATCTTCGTTAATAAATATTTAATACAGATCACTAGGTGTGTGTGTATAGCCTACGGTGAATCTTTAATTGATACACTTGAGTTGCTCACAGGCAGGCATGGATTGCAAAGTCAAAACCTGCAGTGATTAAAACTGTAATAGGCTATCACCTGGTGTTATCCCATTGTAAAGCCTCTCAGAGCAGCTTCACACACTCAGTGTCAGATACTGAAACAGTTTGATAGGAAGGTACACTAAACTAATGGACAGTCTGAACTCCAATTTATCTGTAAAACCAAATTCCTGGTGTTGAAGCTTTCCATCCATTTTGTAAATGTTTCCCCTTTCATGGCCTCCATTAGATCGAAGGTGTGACATGTGTGGGCGTTTGGTATTGTTTTAAGTCCTTGGAGAGTGTTCTGTCCTGCAGCACTGAAAGAAACACCCCGCTGTGCAGGAAGGAGCAGGGGAGCAACCTCCATCCATGAATTTCCTCACAAGGGGAAAAGTATAGCACCAGTCAAAATAAGTATTCCATTTTAATGCTTAATCAACACTCCTCGTAACCTTACTGTAAATTACGGATGCTCATAGATTATGTGAGTTGCTTGTAGAACATGTATTCATAATTAGTACCAATGCAAATATTTAATGCATTGGACATTTTCCATTCCTTATGCTAAAATAAGCTCACTAAGCTGCTTCATCTCTTAGTGTAAAGAAATGAGATGGGTTAAGATTTTCTCATGTAATTCTCAACAAAATGCAAAGTATCTCCCCAAATGTAGCTCCGGAAGTGTACTATTTCTTAAAAAAGAAAGCTCTAACTGGCAAAAATTTCCAGAAATGTCAACATTAGGCAAAAGCTATTTTTAGAAAGGTCCATTTCTATCTGCCAGATAAATCACGTTTGACACATTTGAGCAAAATTCAACAACAAACATGATGTGCAATTTATAAGAGAATATTTATCGTAGATTGCCAGGCAGTCATGTTTCCACATCATTAACCAAATGCCTTAAACACCTTGCTAGGATTATCTCAGTGTATGCTATTACAATAGTCATAATTGATTTTGCTTACAATTGTGTGCTTATTCAGTCAGTAAGCTTTCTTCATCATTTTGTCTCAGTTTGTCTCTTAACAGCCGTCTTTCAGAGGCTCATATCAAAGTGGGAGGCGGCTCATCCTGCATCCTCCCTGTACTTCAGCACACGTCCAGATAAGAAACAGGAGAGGGGGGCATAATATAGCTGCCTCCGACATCAGCTCTCCTCTGCTGTCCCTTCAGATGAATACACAATCAATACAACAATGAATTAATAATGAATGATGTAGAACAACAACCCTGCATGGGCCATCTTGATTCCTTTTAATGTCACTTCCTGTTGGGTGTGATGACGTCTCAAGCAGCAAGGTGACTTATGCATGAAAATAAATCAAAAGTTGAGGCATTTTTTTCCTGCCGCTTGTTTGTGAAACCTGCAGGTGTTTCACATCTAATGCTAGGAGTGTGTGGACATGTGTTTGGTATGGATTGACCATTTGTTTCTATAAAGGTGTAAGAAATTGCACCTCTCACATTTCCTCTCTTCTCTTCCCGTCTGTCTCTTCAGTTGCACTGGAGGCACAGGGGAGGCAGCTTACACCCCACAGGGAGGAGTGGCTGTTTTCAAGTGTGTGTGTGTGTGTGTGTGTGTGTGTGTGTGTGTGTGTGTGTGTGTGTGTGTGTGTGTGTGTGTGTGTGTGTGTGTGTGTGTGTGTGTGTGTGTGTGTGTGTGTGTGTGTGTGTGTGTGTGTGTGTGCATGTGCGTGCGTGTGCATGTGTGTGCGTGCGTGTGTGTGTGTGTGTGTGTGTGTTTTTCCAGTGTTAGAGGTTGAGAAATGTTTCAGCGAACCGTCCTAATTGGCAGATCCCTCTTCAGACTTCAGACAAAAACTTGTAACCACACAGGCGCACAAATGCAAAAAGTCGTTTTTTAACAAACACACAAAGTGGGAATACACAGGAATGGAGGTGAAAAAGGTGGGGTATGTTGTAGGTGAAAACATGCTGTACTTCAAAATAACCTTTCACCACACGGACCTTAATTGCTTCGAGGCTTGAAGCTCTAGCAGTAGCAGTATAATCAGGCAAACTGTAGAGACCTTTTTTCAGCATATTTCTCCAAAGGCCAAATAGGTTCTACTGTAATTAGATGGTAGGATCGTCTTCATTTACGCTTGGCTTATCGCCCTATTTTGCTGTACAGGCAGCTTACATCTGGACAGCCTGACTGCTGTGGGACACCCAGCAGTAAAACAGAGAGGGAGGCCTCGAGCTCCAGGAGCAGCCAGCAGCATCTGCTTAGATGGACACCATCCAGAAACAAATAGGAAGGAAACCCCACAATTCCCTGGGTTAAACATGATAATATATGATGGTAAGCTCAAATGAATTGAAGCAGGATGGAAAAAAATGCATCAAAGAGGATCATTAGTGGGGACTCGGGGCTAAGAGAAGGAAGCTTTCTTAACCAGTAAAGATGTAAGAAATCACAAGTGCAGCTGAGATGAGTCTAACCTTGTAAACTTTGCAACCTAAAGAAAGCAAGGTTTAAATATCCCTGAGGTTGTCCTTCGCCCACTGCTGACGTCACTGGGACTCCGCTGCTCATTCAGTCAATACGATGCCTTCAGCCAGTAAATGTCACGTTACAGAAAATCCAACTACCATCTTCCTGGCTTGCTATAAAGATACTGCTAATGAGGGGGCTAATCTCAGTGATATTGATACTATTATGGTGATGTCATTTGGTGTCCTTTCAAAGGATTATAACTGTAATACAATTACTGTAGGTTTATCCTTTATAATCTGGTGAATAGATTATAGAACGGGCCTTATAAGGGACAACAGACTGCTGTGTTGGGTCAAGAAAAGTAGGAAAATATTTGGTAAAGGAATTAAGCTGCTTTTAGGGTTTTTCATTTCTTTCATTTTTTTGGAAGTTGTCAAAGGGTGTTTGCAAAATACAGGAAATACGCTGTACTTCAAGATTTCATGATGAATCATCATTTATTTGTAAATGTTTCATAATGAATATATAGCACGTAGGGGTTGATATGCTTTCAATTACTGCATTTTTGTACGTTGCCTTGTTCTAAATGATCCTGATGCTGACAGCAATATATTATGCTGATAAATTTGAAAGCAAAATATAGAATAACAGAGATAGAGGTGGACATACCAATTATAAAGTGCTGGTTATTAGAAACCATGCCTTAGTTTTCACTTAGAAATACACATTTTCGTTCTGATTGTCATATCACCATAGCTTGTCAACAACTACAGTCAGACTATCAATCATTTTACGCTTTCCCCCAACTGTCAGGTTTTTTTTGTCAGCAGCTCAAATTATTGACAATCTTCGGACTTGATGTTTGGTCTTCAGAGGAATGCTTTTAATGACAAGAGTGTGTCAAGAGTCTAGAAGTGCCAGCTCTGAAAAAAAAGATGTATTTGCTTTCTTTGACAGGCATTGTGTTTTTTTTTATTACCAGCGACAGAACTCAATACAATGACCCAGGTCGCACTGAAACGCTGGTAGACAAGCAGCATCCTGCCCAGCGGCTACACTTACATTAGCTTCTGCTCGTCCTGTCGGCCTAATGCATTTCCATCACATAAGAGACATTTTCTTTTGGAGGGCTGCGCGGCTCATGCATTGGGATTGTTCCATGGCAAAATGCACGAACTGTGCCTTTCTTAAAGGACAGCAATGTGTTCTTGTCAAGACACTGGAGCAGGAGAAAATGTGCATGGAAGTTCATCTGGGCGTGCAAGGCTTCTGGCTATATGGATAAGCTAAAGGATCATGTTTAAGCTTATGCCATTCTTCCATGTTCTTTCTTCCTTTATGTTATTCTTGGTTTATCTGCCCACAGTCAGTGTAACTGTCAGAGCTTATTATTCTTGCTTCAGAATAAAAATCTGTTCCAGAGCTATATATATATATATACATATATATAAATGAATAAAAAGAATCCTTCAGTTTACACATGGAAAATTGCCCATACAACCGGAAGTCTTAACATCCTCTTTGCAGATGATTCTGTATTATTTATGTCCCTATTGTCATAAATTTGAATACTGACATAAATGTATTACATTCTAATGTTCCCATATTCGCATTATTATTCTGTCTTGCTCTGGTATGAAAGTCTTGCAAAAGCCTTCATGAGTACACATGTTTACCTTACATTTTTAAAACACTTTTATTTAATTTTTATTATTTGTACTATTATTTGATAGAATAAGGAGTTTTCTTTCAAATCCTTTGTAAGACAACA